AGAGCCCTTGCCAGTTTGGCTCAGGGGATAGAGTGTCGGCCCACAGATTGAAGGCTCCCGGGTTCAATTCTAGTCAAGAGCATGGATCTGGGTTGCAGGCTCCCTCCCTGGCACAGGTCGGGGCGCGTGCTGGAGGAGATACACCAATCGATGTGTCTCTCTCAAGTCGATGTTTCTCTCTCTGTGTTTCTCCCTCTCCCTTCGCTCTCTCTAGAAATCAATGGGAACGTGTGCTTGGGTGAGGATTAACAAACAAACCAACAGCAGAACAGTAGCACCATAAGCCCGGTGTTAACAGTGACACGGATGAGACTCCGGGCATCCCGTCCCCAAAGGTCCCAGCTGCCCTCCCACAGCTTCGCCCCTCCAACCCCAGCAACCACCACTCTGCCCTCTGGCTCCATAATTTGCATTTTCAGGAAGTTCCCTAAATGGAGTCACACACATAACCTGGAGGATTGGCCTTTTCAGTCCAGCTGGCTGTTGGGTCAACTCTGTCCCTTTTGGTGGCGCATGTCTGGAAAGGCCCGTCTGTATTTGGGGGAGTGTCCAGGTCATCAGAGTCGCCTGGGTCGGAGCCACAGCTCCGGTCACCCCCTGCCACCAGGCACAGGACCAGGCTCCAGCCCCCATTGGGGTGGGGAACTGGAGGGCCGGGCTCAGCACAAAACCTTTGTGTTTGTGGGTGCCAGCGGGCTCAGGCTGCTTTTAGGGGCACAGTGTCCAGGGTCAGGGCAGGGACAGTGCAGGCAAGAACTTTCCTGGCTCAGAGCACAGCAGCAGGGGATGCTAGTGGGCCAGGTCTCAGCAAGGTTGGGGTGCTGGCTGCTTCCGGAAACATCTGTGGCCTCCCCATGGCCTTGCACTCCCTGACATCCCTTCAAACTGAATGAGCCAGCTTCTACTGCTGTCAAGTAAGGACCCCACCTGGTGCCCACTCCTCCAGAGCTCAGATGGAGTGTCAGGCCCTGCCACCCTGAATGTACCCACACAAGCCCCCAGGGTGGGGGTGAGGTGCCGAGGAGAGAGCACTGAGCCATGAGCCCACCGGCTGTGAAGAGGGCATCCTCCCCCCCTCCCCCACCCCCCATCTCTCCGGTCTCCGTGGCTGTGAGACAGCACACGGCACACCACAACCCATGCCCATCATGGCATCTCTTCTGTTCAGTGAAACCTGGGACTCGGCTGCAAGGCTGTTACTAGAACTGAGAAACGTTCCCACGGAGACAGCATCTCACTGCGGGTTCTCCCCTGGCTCCTCTCAGCTGTCTTTCTCACACTCACACACTCACGCACTCACACACTCACATGCTCACACACACATACACAATGCTCACACTCACATGCTCATGAAGTATGATAGCAATCATCTCAGGTAGAAACTGTAGTTTAACTCTAACCCTGCTGTTTGGTTTCTGTACTTATTTGCTGGCTAAAATAATAGAAAAGTTATTTTGATTTTCTGAATTATATAAATCACCCCATTCGATTGAATACCCTATTGATTGTAATGTGAATATCCCATTGGTTGTGGTC